TCCCACTACACTTTCTGGATTGCTGCATCAGTACACTCTTGTAGCGACTGGAGGTGCTTTGTACGCTGTAACATTCAGCAATACAAACCCCTCCCAGTATGTTCTTCTCTACTTTCCAGCTATTTGCTTTATTTTCAGATGAACTTTTAAGTTTACCAGACACCAAAACCAAAAGTATCTGCAGGCTTTCTGATTTTGACTTTGTTTTAAATTCATAGACTAACTAGGGGAGAAGTGGATCGACAACTTGTCTCTTCATCCCCCCAAAAATGAAATGTCTCCTCCTCCCATGTATTTCAGTCTTAATTTCCCTTACTTCTTTGTCTTTTCTTCATAGAGATGCTCAACTTTCTTGGTTATTTATGTCTTTGTGAATAGGATCATTAAAAATATATATATTTAGAGAGGAGGTGATTGTTAATTAAAAGAAAACTATTAGCTTTTATTTATTTTACAACTAGCCATCTTGCTGAACATTTTTTTTTAAAGGTAATCTTGTAGCCCCTGAATCAGCAGTGGTTCATGTTATTACAAAAAAAAAAAAAAAAAAAACCTAAACATTAGAAGGAAACCTGACTGCTACCATTCACTGGCGACCAGCCATCATTCTCTCCTGATTGGAACAGTGGAATAGGCATATATATAAATAGAAAGCAGGTACACCTGTGAACACATACCATGCACGTGTGCATAAATGAAGCAGCCATGATATTTTCTTAGTTGCTTCTCGAGTTTTCCAAGACATTTATCCATCATTATTTTACCTTCTTTCTAACCTTAAAGTCCTCATATATGCCTGCTGTGATTGGGGCTAGTATCTATCAGTCATTTGAAAAAGTAGTTTAAGGCAAGTCATCATAAAAAAATCAAAGGTATATCCGTTAAACATTTGAGTTTAAAACATAAAAATGTATACTCATTTGCCAATCTTTTAAGGAAGGTCAGTCTTTTCTTGAGCAAACGGATCCAGAGACAGGAGAGCTGATGATGAGAGTTCTCTTCCGAGTTCCGGTTTCTTGAAAGTAGCCTGGGAACTTAGGACTCCAGTGACGGACTCTGAGTGCAGAATTATGACTAGATCTTCCCTGACCTTGGTTGTCCTGCTCACACCATTCCAAAGATCTTTTTAATAGCTCCCCTTTTTTGAACCTTTCTGTGGTGCAGTGATTTACTTTGCGGGGCTCTTCTAGCCATGGTCTTTGTGGCACCCCCGCGATGAATGGGTAGACCTATGCAAGTATAAGGTGCTTGTGCCCTACCAACGGGATTGGATAGCTTGTTAGTAATGTAAGTAAGACACATGGGACCCTTGTGGGGTAGGGGGACCATGGAAATAAGGTATATAGAACTCTAATGTGGGGATTGGTTCATTTTGTCATTCTGTTAGGCTTAAAATGAGCCCTCCTAGAGGCAGAAGGGGGAATCTCATTGCCATCAAGAGAGAAGTCAAGTGCCATGGGAGGGACAGTTGGTGTCAAAGTTAGTTTAAAAAAAAAAAAATGTTGGAGGGTGGCTGCCTGTCTGGCTTCACAGTAACCAGCCTTCGGCTGCTGATGGTGAAGTTAGAGGTCAGAAGAGCCCACCTCCATGTACTTTTTGCACTTTCAAAAGCATCAACTTTGTTTTCCTGGGCATTTTTTTCCTTATATTTCATCAATTTTCATATTTTTAATTTAATTTACAATACAGCTACAGGTACCTGGCAAAGCGACTGGAAAGAGATCCCTATTTCTGCCAATTCGAAAGAAAGGTGCTCCAACAGGATGCAGAAGTTATTTAACAGTATCATTAATATCACACACAAGTAAAGTTTTGATGAAGACAATTAACTGTGCTCATGTGAAACCTGTATATAGACCAAGATGCAGTCATTCAAACAGCACAAGGGAATACTGCATGGTTTAAAATTAGGAAAAGGTGTGTGTTAAGACTATCCTTTCACCACACTTATTCAATCTGTATGCTCAGCAAGTAATTTGAGAAGCTGGGCTATGTGAAGATCACGGCATCAGGACTGGAGGAAGACTCATTGACACTGAGCTAAACAGAGGACACAACCTTGTTTGCTGGAGTTGAAGAGGACTTGAAGCACTTACTGATGAAGATCAAAGACTGTAAGCTTTGGTATGGATTACACCATAAAGGAAACAAAAATCCTCACAACTGGACCAATAAGCAACATCATGATAAACAGAAAACACTGAAGTTGTCAAGGATTTCATTTTACTTGGATATACAATCAATTCCCAGGGAAGCAGCAGTCAAGAATTCAAACAACATACTGCATTGGGTAAATCTGCAAGACCTCATGTAAGTGTTCAAAAGCAAAAATGTCACTCTGAGGGCTAAGACGTACCTGACCCAAGCCATGGTATGTAAGTGTTCAATAGCAAAGATGTCCCTCTGAGGACTAAGATGTACCTGACCCAAGCCATGGTATATTCAATAACCTCACATGCATGCAAAAGCTGGACAATGAATAGGGAAGACCGAAGAAGAGTTGATGGCTTGGAATTAAGGTGTGCATCTGCAATACAAAACACTGCCAGAACAACACATCTATCATGGAAGTACAGCCAGAATGTTCTTTAGAAGCAAGGATGGCAAGACTGCTCATGTACTTTGGACCGTTATCAGGAGGGACCAGGAGTTCCTGCAGAAGACACTGTTTGGTCAATGAAAGAGAGGAAGACACTCAATGAGGACTGACACTGTGGCTGCAACACTGGGCTCAAACATAACTAGGACTGTTGAGGATGGTGCACGACTGGGAAGTGTTTCGTTCTATTGTACATGGGTTCCCTGAGTCAGAACCAACTCAACAGCCCCTAACCACACCACCACAATATGAAATACCTGTTGCCAAAGTGTCAACTCAGACTCACATGGTGACCCCACCTGTGTTAGAATAGAACTGCACTCCACAGGGTTTTCAATGGCTGCTGTTTTGGAAAACAGATCACCAGGCCTTTCCTTGGAGCTGCCTCTGGGTGGTCTCACACCGCCAATCCGTTCAGTTAGCAGCCAAGAGTGCTGTCTGTACCACTCATCATCCAGGGATTCTACAATACTAACTGGAATAAACAGACTGGTGAATAGACACAGTTAACTTTTGGTAAACTCAAGGGGAGTGAGGGCAGAAGCCAAATGGCTCACTAGAAAGTGGCAAACTATCGGTGTGTGGTCTTAGCATGCAGTGGTCATGTTTTCCAGAGGGAATACACAGAGCATGGTCAGGCCATCAAATTGGCCGAGTGGAAGTTGGTTAAAAATATTTTGTATTTAGAACCATTGTGTTCAACATCCACAATATATATTCATGCAGAGATGTGTGTGTGTGAAATAGTCTTCTTGTAATTTGCCGGAGTTTTTATTTTTGCTTATTTTAACATCACGAATGGACCTTAAATTTTATCAAATGTCTTTTTGGCATCTTTTAAGATGATTCTGACTTCTCTCATTTGATCTATTAATATAACATATATGTTGTTGTTGTTGTTGTTGTTATTTGCCATCGAGTCGGCCCCGACTCCTAGCTACCCCTCCTTGGGTTTCCGAGGCAGTTATCACTATGGAACTAGGATTGCCCAACCTTCCTTCTGAGGAGTGGCTGGTATAACATATATATAGCATATTAAAAAGAATGTTCTTAAATTCTTGGAATATATCTCACCTGATTAAAGTGTAGTATGATTGCAATAAGATTCTCTTTACCAATATTTTATTTAGGAATTTACACTCATAAGTGAGTTTGGTGTAAAGCTTTTATTAAAAATTTATTGCCGACTGTCCGAACAATGTTCTTTTTCTTAAAACATTTTTACTCAATTATACCTCCTGCTCCACTCTCTCATTCTGGAGCCTGTGTGTTGATAAAGCTTCCTGGGTAGTGCAAGCAGTTTGCACTCGCCTACTAGCCTAAAAGTTGACGGCTTGAACTTCTCCAGGGCTACCACAGAAGAAAGGCCTGGTGAGCTGCTTATAAACATTACAGACAAAGAAACCCTGTGGGGCACAGTCCTACGCTCTAACACATGGGATCGCCATGAGTCGGACACAACTCGATGGCCACTGGCTTGTACTGTAAGAGCCTAAATGCAAATTCTGTAAAAAAGACATGATGATACTATACCCTATACTCACTGCTGTCGAGTTGGACCTGACTCATAGCAACCCCCTCCTTGGGTTTCCGAAGCAGTATTACTAGGGAAGTAGATTGCCCAACCTTCCTTCCGAGGAGTGGCTGATGGGTTTGAACTGCCAGCCTTCTGGTTAGCAGTCAAATGCCTTAGGCACTATGCTACCAGAACTCCCTATGATGATACTAGGAAAAATAAAATTTATTTCCAAGGCTGGTTAAGTCAAATTCTTTAATGCTTTTAATAGAGTTACTAGGAAAATCATTATTAGGTTTTCAGGGATTTCCAATACAAAGAATGAATTCTATTCCAAGTTCATCATGAAGGTCAAAAGCAGCGAAGCAAGAGGCCTAGTATAGACACAATTATGTGCGCCTCACGTAATTCCTCCAGGAGTGTCTATAAATTTTGTAAAAATTCATTTTAGAAAGAACTTTAGCTTGATGAGTACATGTCAGAGAAGCTTAACAACAGTCTATCAACTAAAAGTCACCTCTTTACAAGTCTTAACAGTAGTCTTCAAAATAACCACTTCTTGAATGGTAAGATTAAAAAATAATAAGCCACGTATACCAAGTAAAGCAAAAAAAGCATGAGTTTTTAACAAAACAAGGAACATTTTTAATGATTTCTTGGAATATCAGAACACTTTTTAATTCAATTACACCTGCCATGATTTATCACTTACAAAAAGGATAAGGGAAGTAGTTTTTGTTTTTCCCTAAAGTATACCTAAATTCATTAAGCTGACAGCCTTTTTTTTTTTTTAAATGGTTCACTAGGTTTTGTTATTTTAATGGCTTGAAATACAACGCTTTTCTTATAGACTATTGAGTTTTAGCTCCAAATGAAAACAGTACATCATACAAAAGTGTTATTTGCACCGTAGCTGGTGAAGTATAAAAGGGCAGAGGGCGCACTGACAGGGCTAGACCGGGCACTCCTATCAGCCCTCGCACTTTGCTTTCTTGCAAGCTGGCAGAGACTCCTCATCCCCTTCTGATGACCGAGGTTTCTTCACTGTAGAGACAATTCCAAAAGCAGTTTTTCTAGTTTCTAAAAAACAAACGGGAAAATCACAATGCTTGAAGGTAAAATGTGATGAAAAAAGAGATGGGCTAATAAGTATCAACATAATACTCTGACTTCCAGCACCAGTAAATGATAGAACCACAATAAACTGTTATGGGTGCTGACGCCAGTTACTGTCATTACCTGTTTTCCCCAACATAAACAGATACTAGTGTGTTATGAACATCTAACTCACTGTTAAAGATTACCTTAAAGGGTGGAACTGCAGAGCAAGACTATTTCTAATGGTCCGTCCCTGACATTTTATGCAGCCAGAACTCAAGTCACAAATGTTGGTACCTCAGAGGTTTGATATATGGTAGAAAGACAGATGAATCAGAGAATAAATACAACACCTAACCTTACTGCTCCCATGGTGGTATGCAAAAGCTCTGGTGAAGCAGTGGTTAATGCATTCAGCTGCTAACCAAAGGTCAGTGGTTCAAACTCATCAGCCACTGTGTGGGAGAAAGATGAGGCCAGTCTACTTCCATAAAGATTTACAGCCATGGAAACCTTACAAAGCAGTTCTACTCTGTCCTATGGTGTAACTGTAAGTTGGAATCCACTTGGTGGCAGCTACTCTGGTTTTTGGATGGTCATGTGCATGCTTGTCTCATTTGACAGCACGTACTGTATCTCCTTCTACCTAGATCACCTCTGTTGGCATTGTCCTGCCAACACCCAGCAATGCCTGCTATGTAATGTGTCCAATAAATACTTGATGAGCGAATGAATAAATCTAAGCTCTCATGTTCATTGACCTCTTATATACTGGCTGACAACAACAAAGAAAAATGGAAATCAGGAACGCTTCAGTCAGGTTGGCAACATTGTTAAATTTAGCCAATTTCTGGGCCATAACAAAAAAAACCAAACCCGTTTCCATCGAGCTGATCGGACTCCTAGCGACTTCCACTGGGTTTCCAAGGCTATAAATCTTTACAGAAGTAGATTGTATCATCTTCCTTCCATGGAACAACTGGTGAGTTTGAACCACTGACCTTCTGGATAGCAGCCAAATGCCTTACCTACTATGCCACCAGAGCTCCTTTTAACTTCTGGGCCAGGCACTGTGTAACAAACAGAAGTACAAAGATGCCTTACAGACTATACTAACACCTTCTCCCACTGCACACCTGATAAGGTATAAAGGCAAATGATGCACTAGAAGGAATTAACTCTCTGACTCAATCGAGGAATGTATCACAAAAGAGGTGACAACTTTGCAAAGAAAGAGAAGTAAGAAGAATCTGGTGTTTTTCGGTAACAATGTGGCTGGTGTGAAGGAAAAGTATGAAAAAAACTAGGGGAAAATGAGGCTCGAAGGATAAGGGTCAAAAGTGCCATGAAAAGAGATTCAAACTTTGTCCTTAGAAAATGGGAAGGGACTAGGGAGACAGATTCATTTGGTAACAAGAGTATAGAGTCAAAAGAACTTAATGAACAGAAATTTAGTTAATTATTTCTTATCTCAAGTAATAAAAGTAAAAGAGTTAATAAACATTACTTTCCCATTTATCAGAACTAATTTACCAAGTCTACTAAAACTCTGTCAGTTATTTTAAAAAGCACTTTAACTTATATAAAAGGGCAAAAACTGCTCTCAAGGTCACTAAAATGCCAACACAATCAAAGAACTTCAAAATAAATGGAAAGTGCCAATGATTTCCACTTCACCAAATGAAAAATATTGCATCTAGAGATGTTTATTCATATCATTATGATTCTGAGTAGTACTGTGACACTCACTTGAACGAATAAAAATTAAATTGCAAAAATGAGAACTTTTCAACAAAACAAAATGCATTGGTTTCAAAATTATTTTCATTCCATCTCAAGAAATGTTCTATTACGATCACATGAACATTTACTATTTAACCTAAGCTGATAAAAACGGAAAAATCAGAACTTTGTAATTATCAAATAAGGTTAAATCTCTTAATGTAAATACATCATTTAAAAATAAATTTATCCTGCTCCTGAATATATATACCCCAAAGAATTGAAAGCAGCAACTCCAACAGACACACGTACACCAATGTTCACCACAGCACTATTCACTATAGCCAAAAGGGGGCAACAACACAAGCATCCATCAGCAGATGAATGAATAAACAAAATGTGCTGTCTATACACACGTGTGGTATATACATACATATAATTTTACTATACAGAGAAATGAAGTCCCATCACATGGATAAACCTTGAAAACATTATGCTAAGTGAAGTCAATCAGACACAGGAGTACAACTCCTATATGATCCTACTTCTATAAAATATCTAGAATAAGTAAATCCATCAAGACAAAAGACGGCACAGTAACAACAGAAGCAGCAAATAGAGGTAACTGGTAGCATAGTGCCTAAGGCACTTGACTGTTAACCAGAAGGCTGGCGGTTCAAACCCACGAGCCACTCCTCGGAAGGAAGGTTGGTCAATCCTACTTCCGTAGTGATACTGCCTTGGAAACCCAAGGAGGGGTCGCTATGAGTTGGGGCCGACTTGACAGCAAATAACAACAACAACAACAACAGTGGCTCAGTGGTGGTTTCGCTTTTTTTTAAATCCCTATTTTCCTCTGCCCCCAGCCCCTGGTAACCACTCGGGGCCAACTCGACGGCACACAACAACAACAACAACAACACAATCTTTCTGGAGCAGATTACCTTGCCTTTCTCCTGTGGAGCCACCAGGTGGTGGGTTCAAACCACCAACATTTTAGATAGCAGCTGAGCACTTAACTGCTAGTATCCTATTTTGTTCATGAGAAGTCAAGGCAGGTGTTCCCAGCAGTTCTATCGTGGTCCAATGGCTGTATGAGAAAATGAATTCCTCAATCATAAACCCAATTCTCTGACCCTAAACCCCTTCTCTTCTCAACTTCTAAAATTCATTGGCTTCTGGAGCTCCACAGAAACCATCTAATTCTGATTTCCCTGAGGCAAGCCTTCCACTGTTGAAAGTCAGATACTATGTGTCCCAAGTCTTCTGTTTTCCAGATGTCCATTATTTCCGTAAAGATTTCCCCCCTCAGAAACCCAAAGCGGGTCGCTATGAGTCGGAATCGAGTCGACGACAGTGAGTTTGGTTTGATTTTTTTATCCATATACTGCTTTCAACCCCATCACAGGATTAAGGTTTCCAGACTCTTTTAAGAAGCTATTTACCATCTTCTAGTAGTGCCCCAATGCACCGCTGTCCTTAAATGTGACACTTAAAACTATACAGATGCCAGCTAGGCATTTGTGCAAAGTATAATAATAAGAGTTTAAACCCCCTTGCCTCAGAATCCTTTATTTCTTATAGTGTAACCTAAAACTGAATTAGCAGTCTTAGGAACTGTCTCATACTGATCCCTCTGTCAACCAAAGCCTGGGTAACTATGTAATTTATCACCTGTATTGGGAATTTCAGCGTTTAGTAATTCTGCAGGGACATAGGCATAAACTAGGACTGTTCTGGGCATACTGGGGTGAATCACAATGCTACCTAACGCCCACAAGCCTTTTTTAGTTAACCTTCTGTAAAAAGCCTACCTTTATATATTCCATGCTGAATAGTTGAGTTTGAGTTAAATGCAAAACTTTATTTGTATTTTTCACTACTACATTTTGTTGCTGTTTTTTTTCCCCTAGGTTTTTATCTATTTATTTTTATTTTAAGAGCTTGTTTTACATTCAAAGTCACACGTACATTTAGTTTCATTCCCCATTCGCCATGTCCAACCCTAACCCAGTTTCCTCCCCTCCCTACCCTACAACACTCCACCTGTGCCCCTCATAATCATGCACTCCTGCCTGTCCTGCATTTCCTCAGTTTGAATGTTGGTCCTTTGATGTCCCATGGTCTATTGCTCTAAGGGATGTATTACCATTGAGTGTGTGGGTGCGGCATCCTGGGTTGAGTGGTCTGCGTGTACATCTTGTTAACTATTGGGCTGAGAGCCTAATTTGTTGCTGTTTTTAGTTTCCCTTTCTTGTTTTAATCTATTTTGGAATACCACTTGTTATCCAAATTTTGATAATTCCTCATATTCATTTAAAATAGGTAAAATAATGGCACACTTGGCAAATCATGAACCAACTCTTCCTTAATTTCAAGATACTCTCGATAAAAATCTCAATGTGGTCACTCCCAGAGCTTCTGCATTGGGGTCTAGGCTATAAAACAATCTCAAACTAAAAACGTTGAAGTCAAAGACATCTGGTACACTATCCGATATGCAGCCTATATGACTATGAGACCAAAAGAACTAGATGGTGCCCAGCTACCACTGTCAACCACTCATTGGGGGATCTATCTAGGAGGTACTTGATAGAGAGAGAGAACAATGTAGAACAAAACTCAAAATCATTTGGAGAAAAATAAAA